CGGGGCCCCTGGAGCGAGGAAGGACCCTGCTCCGGGGCCCCTGGAGCAAATTGCCCCACTTGCCCTCCCCCCCCCCCGGGCGGCCCTGAGTATACATCTTCCCCCAACAATCTGTAGTGATGTGTTGTCTATACAAAAATCTGAGGCATACTGGAAATAATTTGTTTTGCTCTCTCCCCACATTTAATCACTTCTCCGTAGTTCAGGGTTGCAGCAAAATTTCACTTTTTTCAATTGACAACTTCTTTATTTAAATAGAAGTCGTTGCAGATGTTCCACTCTGCTAAACCAGACTGTCTGACTCTAGGGACCGTGCTGCAGAATTTAAGTCTAGCTTGCCATGGAATACATTGGACTTTGGTCTTCAGTTTTGGCAGTTCTATAGCGTTAAGACAGGATCAATGAAAATGCTAGTTGAAACTTGTCATTAGCTCCCTCTTGCATAATTTATTATATAGTGAGATTATATTTATCATACAAAATCTAACTACATGAATGCTCAGTTCTACAATGTGTTTAGTTTTATTCATCTTTAAAAAAAATTAAACTTATCTATAAATAACTTGCATTGATCCCAATATCTGTCTTTCTTTCTGAAGGTGAAGTGATTAAATTAACTGATGTGAAAGACTTCTCGTTGTCCTTGTGGCTCATATTTATAATCTGTGTTTGTTATTATGCGGCTGTGTTTCCTTTCATTGGACTTGGGAAGTAAGTGTCTCTCTCTTCTCTCCCCCACCCTCCCTTTTTAAATGAAATATAAACAGCTGCATCAGAAACATCACTTCCTAACATACCATACCAGTTTGGCACAAAGTTAACGGACAGAACTCCTTGTAGAGACAATGTAAATTTTTAAAGATATATTTAAAATAAAAAAATTATTGCTGTTTTATTTTTCAAGAAATCATTAGGAAACGTTTTTGTAGCAGTTCTGCCTGTTAGTCTGCTTTTGATGTTTCTTCAGTGACATTACTTGTGCCATCTCTTACCATTTGAGAGTTGTGATGTGGATTTTCTTATCTGTTGCACTTTCTTAAAAATACACTTTAGGTTTTAGCATTGGTTGAGCTGGTGTAATGCATGTTACTTTTGTTACCTAAAACTTGGAATTGGGTTACTTAAAACTTGAAATCTTAATGCAGCAAGAGCCATGGAAGGCTGCCATTTAGTGTTCTCCACTGTCATGTTAAGTGGAGATTTGACTAAGCATCATTAACCATCAGACTTCTCCAAGCTAAGATAGTTGTCCGGCTTTTCCATTTTGCTTATGCATCATCTCCAAAAGGTCCTGCTTTGGCCGGTCTAATACAGAGGCTTGGTCCTTGCTGTGCCATCACTAGGTTAGCCACCAGTGAGTTGTGCTTTTGATGACTTCTTCTGATGTAGAAAAAAACATTTTTAGAACCTTCTACTATAGAAATCCATCTCCTAAATACCTTATGAAATTCTATATGCAGTATCTATGTTCTCTGGGAGATTTCATTTTTCTGTAACATGCATTCTTATGTTTATGTCAAACTGTTTTTAAAAAAAAATTAGTAAATTTGAATTTTTTCCTATTTTCACTTTCAAATTTAAGCTAAAACGGTAACATTTTAAATGGGTAAAAAAATTCTAAAACTCCTGTATGGATTTTACTTTAGGGTTTTCTTCATTGAGAAATTCAAATTTTCTTCTCAAGAAGCAAGTGCAATTAACAGGTATGCCTGCCAATTTATTTGATTAAAGGCTTTTATGTAAGAGCATGTCAGTCACATGTTAGTCTAGGGAGACAGTAGAGAGTCTTTCCCAAAAATCTTGTCTTCAGACATATTTGTGTTGTGCTGTATGACTAATGCATTCCCGGGGGCATGGGTAGGCTATTCTATCAAGGAGCATCAGTCCCTCCATTGTGGGAAGTCCAGACTATAAAAATGAATCATGGGGCTTTGTTTAGACAAGGAAAGATCTGCCTTGTGACAACTGTTAGAGGAGTCATGGACTGAGAAGCACTCCTTTCCCAAGCAGAGCTTATTAAAGCAGGCTAATTATGCTTTGTAGCTATATAGTACTCAGCAATCAACAAACTAAAGTATAATAACAAATCCGTGAGGTAGACTGAGGAAACAGAGAGGGTGAATGAGTTGCTCAACATCATACAAGTGACCGTTAGTGCCAGAAACAGAATCCATCGCTCCTAAATCATTCCTGTGTTCTAACCAGTAGACCACACTGTTGGCTACCTAGACATCTTGGTCTCTGGGCTGATGCCCTTCTGACTTCTACAAATGGCTAATCACCTTTCTGCAATACAAGTGGGCTAGATTTCTTCTCTTGAGGCTGATCCCTGAATTATCAAGGTGGTGAACACTAAATTTGCCCCTGTCCCTCAACTACCAGACACTAATTATGCTGCTTTGATATTTATTTTTGGAGAGGGAATGTATTTGTTATGCACTCAAGCATCCCAGAACAATTCAAGCATGGGGGCTCCACAGTGAAGAGGGAATTTGGTGTTGTAGATAGTGATGCTTCATGATGGAAAGACAGAAGTTGCCTTGTGGTTTAAAATGTAGAATAAATGTGTTTTCAAACTATCTTTATCACTTCTTTGTAGCATTGTATATATCATATCAGCACCCATGTCCCCTGTCTTTGGATTCCTGGTGGATAAACTTGGAAGAAATATTATCTGGGTTATGTTTGCTGTAGTGGCAACCCTTGCTTCTCACGTTATGTTGGCCTTTACTTTCTGGAACCCTTGGATTGCTATGGTAATTCTTACTAGTAATAATGACTTTAATTGTGTACGTACGTGATCTTATCTGATAGCCATATGATAAATTGTATTTATCATGCTCTTTTGACCATATTGCTGGCACTGTGCCCACTAGTCCACCACCATGGAGATATGAGAGAGAGAATAATGAATGGCATAGAGAAAGTTAATCAGGCACTCCTGTTTACTCTCTTTGAATACAAGAACAAGGGAACGCTACATGAAACAGAAATTAAAAGTGAAGTTAGGGAATATTTTGCACAACATGATTATCTGCTTGAAGTTATGGCTATGTCTACACTACCACGGTAAGTCGACCGAAGTTATGCTACTTTAGCTACATGAATAACGTAGCTGGAGTCGATGTAGTTTAGGTCCACTTATTGCAGTGTCTACATCACACTGGGTCGACAGGAGACGCTCTCCCGTTGACTTACCTTACTCATCTCATTCCGGTGGAGAACTGGAGTTGACTGGAGAGCGATCTGTTGTCGATTTAGCGGGTCTTAACTAGACCCACTAAATTGACCCCATGTGCATCAATCGCAATAGTGTTGATCCCGCGGTAGTGTAGACATAGACAGCTTAGTAGGATTAGACACCAGATTAGACACTTCTGGCTAATGAGCACCCCAGTTACATTAGCTAAGCAAACTTTTATAAAGATTATAAGCCTTTATGCTTCAGGATACAAGCCAACCACTGGGGGTGTGGGAGGTTAGCAGGACACTTCCCCTATTGGTAGGTCATTCTAGAACTGTTATCTCAGGTCTGATCCATTAGGGTAATTCCTATGCTCCTTTGGAATCTGGTAGGGGGCAGAGGGTGGGTTGTAAGACTGCAGTTCTGCAGCAGCCTCCTACTACTTGCATGGAGCTGGCAGCTATAGGAAAAAGCTCCCAGGGTTTGAGGCTTTCCCCAGTCTGCCCCTGGAATATACTTGCATTTTCCTCTGGTATTGGCTACTGGTAAATGAGATACTAGGCTAGATGTAATGCTATTGCAAAAAAAAAGTGAACATCGTTCTGGGATGTATTGGCAGGAGTGTTGTAGGCAAGACATGAGAAGTAATTCTTCCACTCTACTCCGTGCTGATTAGGCCTCAAATGGAGTATTGTGTCCAGTTCTGGGTGTCACATTTCAGGAAGGATGTGGACAAATTGGAGAGAGTCCAGAGAAGAGCAACAAAAATGATTAAAGGTCTAGAGAACGTGACCTATGAGGGAAGATTGAAAAAATTGGGTTTATTTAGTCTGGAAAAGAGAAGACTGAGCGGGGACAAAACAGTTTTCAAGTATGTAATAAGTTGTTACAAGAAGGAAGAAAAATTGTTTTTCTTAACCTCTGAGGATAGGACAAGAAGCAATGGGCTTAAATTGCAGCAAGGGAGGTTTAGGTTAGACATTAGGAAAATCTTCCTAACTGTCAGGGTGGTTAAGCACTGGAATAAATTGCATAGGGAGGTTGTGGAACCTCTCAGGAATGGTCTAGATAATTAGTCCTGCCACAAGTGCAGGGGACTGGACTAAATGACCTCTTGAGGTCCCTTCTAGTTCTGTGATTCTATGATCGGCTGTCTTCTGTTCTGGCAGTTGTGTACAAATACCTGAAACCCCTAAACAGCTTCACGCACCCATTTGATTGACTTGGGCCTGTGTGTGTGAAGAGACAACCAGAAAACCCCCACCTTCTGTCCATGCCACCTTCCCAAGACATACTGTTTGAGGCTCAAAAAAGTCAGTCCTAAAGCAGTGACGGACTGAAGATCAATACCTAACAACCCATCAGGGTTAGCAGCATGTTTTCCTGCTTTCCAGTGTGACACAGTACTTGTTTTGATATCTGTCGGGCCTTAAAATAGTAATGCTATGTGCTGAAAAGCTATTTCATCCAACTTGGATATCATTAAAACATGTTCACTCCTCTGAAGGCCTGTACAGTGGACTTTTACTAAGGCACCTGGCTTTCCAGGTGGTAGGAGAGAAGAGTTTGTAATTCTTTTCTTATTGGTATGAGGATAGTCTAAAAACTTCCTGTAAAACGTGGCATATGTGGTGATTGGTGTAAAGGTTTCATTGGTGCTTGATTGTACTGTTCAGAAACCCATGGGGTTTTTTTAATATTAATTCCCCAATTCAGAGCTTCCACCATGAGTTGTTAAAGATCCGTACAATTTAACCACTCAGCTTGTGGGTGGTGTGTGTTTTGTAATAAATTGGCTTTTCTGTGTGTGTGTGTGTGTATATATACATAATTAAACTTTTTTCCTAACTGGCTGGTTCTGCTTCTGCAAAGCTCACCCAGAAACTTGTTGCCAAACCACTTCTTCTTGGCTTACGCTCATAGGAAGCGGTTGACAGAAATGTCATCCTTTTATTAAAATTATATACCAAGTACTACATTTTAGTACCTTAACACCAGCATATATATAATATAACATTTATATTCTAATCTTGTTTTCAACAGTGTATGTTAGGAGTAGCCTATTCACTGCTTGCCTGTGCTTTGTGGCCAATGGTAGCATTTGTTGTTCCGGAACATCAGCTGGGAACTGCTTATGGCTTGTAAGTATTTATATATTTGTCTCCCAGGGGAGGTCTACAGCGGGTACTTCCAAATACAGAACCACTATTTAAATTTTGAGTAGCTTATTCCAGAGTGGCTGCTAATAGTTTCATTGCAATGAACATATCTTATAAAATTACTCAAGCTAGGAACAGTCCTCAAATTCTTCAAGATATGCTTGTTTTGATATCAAACAAATCTAATACGTTTTCATTCTTCTGAAATTACTGTCTCCAAAATAGCTTTTGCTTTTCACATTTCAAGGATTACTGGCAAAATTAACAGGTCACAGATGTAGAACTTGATTCTGCCCTCAGATTTGTGGGTGCAGTTTGTACAATTAGAGAATGTACTTGTTGCATATCTGCCTCTGTATGCCATGATGCAGCTTGTGCCAGTGTACAGTGTCTTTCTTGTAGTTGTACTTATAAATGCAAATAAGGAAATTCTAGGTACTCTTCAGACCTTAAGCATGTTGGCTTCTTTACATGGGGAATTTTTTTTTATTATTTTTAATGTGGATAACAAGATTGTTTACCCTGTGTTTTAGTATGCAGTCTATCCAAAATCTGGGTCTGGCAATTATTGCCATAGCAGCTGGTACGATACTGGATTCTCGAGGGTATCTGTTTCTAGAAGTCTTCTTCAGTGCTTGTATTTGCTGTAAGTACATTACTGTGGGAACTTATGGCCCCTGAATATTGGGGAGCTCACATGACATTTTTTCCTTAATGCTCAGTGTGTTTGTAGCCACGTCAGTGAATACTTTCTGTTGTGTAGATTGATAGTTGGATGCTTGTTTTATAAACTGATGTTGAAAGTAATTAATTTAATTCTCACTGGAGTATTGATCATTTACTCTCAATGGACTTTATATAATCTATACTGGGTACTGAAGAAATTTTTGAGAGGGAAAATGAGGTCAGATGGATATTTAGTATAGTTAGAACCTTTTTAGGTAGCACTGAAACACACTACTTATGCTAAAAGGGGATCTTCAGGGAAAGAGATTCCCCCCCCCCCCCCCCCCCGTTAAGTGACCATTTTCCTGATCTTGCTTTAAACACTCTAGGTGGTGTTTTCAAAGTGGCTAAGTGAGTTAGGAGCATGTCACTAGGACATGCTCCTAACTCACTTAGCTCATTTTTTTTAAAAATCTCAACGTCTGTCAACACTGCTACCTAAAAGATTTGACTGTTACTTAATTGCATTTTAGGGTAAGAGTTTGGTTTTCCTCCCCTCACAGTAACCTTGCTGACTATAACTCTCTTCTGCTTTTCTAGTGTCACTAATAGCTGTAGTCATGCTGTATTTTGTGAATCACCTCACTGGTAGGTGCATGTTTATATTGTCTCTCTACATATTTTCCTCTGTTCTGTTTGAGTCAGTAATTTTAGTTACAACAATGATCTAAATTTTTCCTCTCTAACTAGTATTACACAGGGTAACAGAAGCTGTTCTGGCCCGACTCTTTGTAGATTAAAAATTTTACCCTCTTAATGGAGGTTAATGGAGACATTTTTAAATCACCTCAATATAAAAGTTTCCTTTGACGATTACCATCAAAATTCCCTCAACTTTATCAATAGGAATGCTCCCAATAGTCAGGGTAAGCAGGGGATTCAGAACCTATCCTTTGAACTAACTTGAGCACTAGTTTTAACATACCTGGTACTTAATAAGGTTGAACTAACTAATATTAAAGGAGTACAGTACAGCTGCACATGGATATCTGATTTGGTCATTTATACTAGGCTTTGAGTAAGATTGTGACCATTTCCCTATCCCTCTTTGGAAAAATTTCAGATTGCTTTTGTAGACCTCATAGTAACTGTTGAAGTGCTATGTGTTCGCATATGTAAAAGTTGCATTGGCTCTTCAGAAAGCAAATTATCTTCGTTCCCCCTTGACTGTTGTTGCACGTCTAATTGTATTTCCAACATTGGGGTTGGATAACGATAAAGCTGCTACATTCAGTCCATTTTGCTGCTAATATTGGGTTGTTTCTATCAAGGACATGCTAGCATTTTATCCTGTATACGTGTAAATGCCCCAAGCTGTGTAGGGCTTTCACCACTTTCCTTGGTTTAAAACATTTTTCACTCAAGAAAGCTGTTTCTGATGTTCAGCCTGAAACTTTTTTCTTTACTACATGCTGTTAGGGCTAGGATTATCGTCCTAAATTCCTCTCCTTTTTGGGTGATTATCCCTTTAAATTTTTGTTCCTACCACATTATAGCTTAGGTGAGGGGATAGCTAAATAGTTAACTTTCTAAAAATCTTTAAGTGCTAGAAGAAACTACTACTTCTGTGAACTCAACTTGTTACTTAGGACTGAATTCACTCTAATAGATTCTAGACCCATAGCTATTATGTCCTTGCTCTATGACATGTCTATTTGTTTATGCAGCCTAGAAATGCATTGACTTTTAGCTGCCATATCAAATTGTAGTCTTGTCTTATCCCAAGGTCTCTCAATATTACTGATTTTTCCATATGTATATTGACTTTCATTTTCTCAAGTTATAGAGGTGTTTTTTAGTGGAGTATACCACACAAAGACAAATATTTCAGGAGTTCCTAAATCATTATAACTTCTGTTTGTAGGAGGTGATCTTAACTGGTCTGCAAAGAAAAGGGAAAAACTGCAAAAGCTAGCTGCAGCTGAGTAAGTATATAAAGCTGAGAATTGGTGTCCTTTTAAAAGCTTTATTAACTTAGAAATCTATTTTATTTATTTATTTATTTATTTAAACATACACATAGTTCAATGTCGTACCTGATTCTAGACTTTTGGCACAATCTCCCCTTAACCACGCCTTTGTAGTCAATGTATTTTGCAATATACTATCAGGAATGAATGAGGCAAGAATAACTTTACTACAGTAGAAATACTCTTCACAACTTCATTCTGCAAAAAGTTGAAGCCAACTGGAGTTGAAGATGCTCAGCATCTATGAAAAAGAGGCCATCTCAGTATCTGAAGTTGGGTGCCTAAAATTTGCACTGTAGTGAGTGTTGGCATTATCCTTTTAAAATACACAACTATTTGCAATTGTCTATTTGAGAGATGGGGTGGGGATACCTTTTATTGGACCAACTCCTGTCAAAATTTAGTCTGCTGTGTGGCTCGTGGCTTTTTCCATCTCTGAATTACATGCTCCTGCCTCCTGTTATTGAGTAAAGCAAACACTGGCTTATGTCTACTGCCCAGGCATCATGCTGGTCCTAACTCTTGAAAACATACCTTTATATTAAAGAAGAAAATACAGAGTTCCTTCCAGCTGAATGAAAGTTCTAAGGCGTGGCCTGCACTAGGAAATTATCTTTTGTATAAGTACATCATTCAGGGAGGTGAGAGAAAACACCCCCTGTGTGACGCAGATAAACTGGCTTAACCCCCAGAGAATACTCCTGTCGACCTAGCTACTGCCTATCGGGGAGCTAGAGCACCTATGCCAACAGGAGAATCCTTACCATTGTCATAGATTGTGTTTCCACTGAAATGAGTGTAGACAAGCCCAAGTATATTTAAAAAAAACAAACTACTACTAGCACTTCACACTTCTGAACTAAAACTGCTTGTTGGTGACCTTTTTATGTAGGTGTGACTAGTTAAGAAAAGACAAGTAGCATGTTGTCATATTCTTTAGTCATGCTTTTGGGTAATGGCATACTTTTTAATTGCCACTGCAAAAGTAAAATATAGAGCAGAGTATATCTGGGGCCACTTACGAGTCAAGTAAGATTATCTGGGTTTAATATCAGAAGCAAGACAAATGAAGACTGATTTTTTTTTTTTTTTTTTTTTCAAAATAGGATCCTAAAGTTGGGCTTCTAAAGCCATATAGAGAAACAGGTGCATAAATATGGCGTTAGAAGCCTAATAATTTAAAGAGTGCTGAGCGCTCACAGCTTGCACTGCCCTTCAGGTTACTGAAGAGTTGAACTTAAGGGTCCTATTTCTGAAAATCTTGGCTTTTAGTTGTGAATGGGAAGCTATCAAAACACTACTGTAATTCGTATCCATTCTTATCTAGTGCAATGGACATTGAAAAGTCTCCTTCTAGTTATTAGAAGAAAAATTGCCTCCTGTCAAGACACTGGATTTATTTCAAGTTTATTTTTACTGTCACTGACATCTGAGTTTCATGGAAGGTAACTTCCCTAACTTAAGGATTTCGACTGAAGGTATGTCGACACACACACAGCTATGGCTGCACTGCAGCAGCAGTGCCATGGTAATGCTTCAGTGGAGACACTACCGATGCCGATGGGAGAGTGTCTCCTGTCTATGTAGGTACTTCAGCTCCCCAAAAGGCGGTAGCTAGGTCGACGAGAGAAGTCTCCCATCGACCTAGCACTGTCTGTACCACAGGCTTAACTGTGTCTCTGAGGGGTGTAGATTTTTCACACACTTGAGCAATGTAGTTATACTGACCTAATGTCCTGGTGTAGACTAGGACTTAGGCCGTGGCTACACTCAAAACTTCAAAGCGCTGCACGAGGGGATTAGCTTACAGCGCTGGCTACCAGCGTTGGGGCACTGTTTACACTGGCGCTTTACAGCGCTGTAACTGCTGCGCTCGGGGGGGGTGTTTTTTTACACCCCCGAGTGAGAAAGTTGCAGCGCTGTAAAGCGCCAGTGTAGCCAAGCCCTTAGTAGTGTGTGACCAAAAGGGCATTAACAACGCTACAGTGAAGGTGAAGTTGAACTTTGATATATAACAAACTTGTTTAGGGTTTAATTCTACAAATGTAGAAATCCAGCATGGCTGGAAAATACAACCCACTTGTAAACTCCAAAAAAAACAACAACCAAAAAACAACAAAAAGCTGCCTGCTTTTTAGATAGGTTTTTCCTAAAAACTTAGTCTAGTATCCTGTTTAGAAGGACATAAGACTAAAATCTCCTTGAGTTCAATATCTATCTCAACCACAGATTTCCTATGTAATCTTGAACAAGTTATTCAATTCCTCAGCTATAAAATGGGGTGGTTAATACTTCCTTGTCTCAGGGGTGTTGCGAGGATTAAAATCTAGTAATCAGATAATATGGAGATGACTATAGAAGTAGATATAACTGGCTTTAGGGTCAGGCACATTTTTGAAGCAGACACTTAAAGGATGGGACAGTTATAAAGCTATAAGGTCCATTCTTTCCATATGTGTGTGTTTATTTTTTTATTTTATTTTTTTTATACAAAGATGATTTATCTTTAAATACGTTTCACAATGTTTAATTATGTGTTCTAGCTAGGTATTATGAATACTTCATTCAGATAACTTACAAGTGAACCAGATGAATATTTTTATTTGATACACTTGTTGTGAACAGTAAAACACCTTTACCCTCTCAGTGCTGCTGCTTAGCTATATAGTTGTATGTTACAGAAATTAACTTACACAAACAAAAGTATTGTAGTTTAGGCAGAAGACCATTTATTGTCAGTGCTAAAATGTGAGGCACTAAACTGGTATATGTAATCTGTCTGTAGTGAATTGCAAATAGACACTTATACTGCAGTGGCTACAGAACTAAATTTAGTTTTTCTGTAAAGTGAAAGATAGAAGATTTCTGTATGTATTGTCTGTATATAAAAACAATTTTACAACATCTTACACGCCCGTGACTTCAGAATGAAATCTCTCAACCAAAGCCATCTCTCCCACAGTAGCTGGTGGTAGTGGTTTCATACTGGCATGTGGCAAACTTGGCTTGGGTTTCTGTTCCCAGCCGGTGGGGTGGCACTACAGAGATGGGAAGAGGGCATCTAAGATCCCACTTCAGCAACGTAACTTGTTGAAACCTGATGAAAACTTGGTTCCAAAAGATAGAGTACATGAGCTAACAGATAGTGACCAAGATGTGAAGCTGCTTTGGATGGTAAAGGAGCAGAAGAAGAGTCTACATAAGGCTCTTGTCAGTACGTGGAGCACATTCCGTCACCAGAAGCAGATACATATTTTTACTTGACTTGCCAATTTTTCTGATCTATGCAAGATGTGTGCAGTGTTTCCAATATATAATTCAAAAGATAACATTTTGTGTTTGATAAAGCACCCTGAATGTCAGGGTTCCTTGTAGCATGTTTTCAATAATTCTCACTACAATGTTTTTTTCAGAAAAGAAATTTGAATAGCAAATATCATCCAGAAGTGGGGAGCATTTGATCAGCAACTTATCAGCTTGAAGAATTTATAGTGTATTTAGAGCTCGATGCTTAGCACTGGACAATACAGTTGATTGGAAAACATACTAACATGCCGAGGATTTTACAGTAAACTATTTTATGATGACACTTATGCTTTGTAACAATTTTTAATAGCTACCAAACATTCATCTTTCTCAGAGCGGTTGCACTGTGTTGGGTCATAGCATTTTAAACTGAACTGAAGTTTCATGTAATTGCAAAATGTTTCCTTTTCAACCTGAAGCAAACATTCTTGCAGTATAAACTAGATCACGTATCTCACTTACAGGAGCAGCACTTAAATAGTGTCTCTTTGGTTGGTGTCAAGAATTTTTGCCTAATAATGGTTTTAAGCAATTATTTGACTTGTATTTTGTGTACTGAAAAGATCATTGCCTTCCAAAACTTGTTAACAGGTCTCTGTTAATGTGGCTTTTGTCACATTCTTCATGCAAAACACAATCACATGTAGCAGTAAAACACAGTTCAGTCTTCCAAGACTTTTTTACTCTTTACAGAAAGGGCTCAAGTTGAAAATAAGTGGGAGTGGGGAGCTGTCTCTAACAAGTACTGTATGGCCAAATACTGGTTCTTTAATCTGTGATAAAACCAAATCCTGATTGCTATTAACTCTGTAAGACTGCTGAGCAGTCTCTTTAGTAAGGTTGTTTGTCACTTCTTTTTTTTTTTTTGTGCTATAATCTTAATATATTTTAAGGGATCAAATCTTGTTTAACTGATAAAGGCATAGTCTGAATTTTGTTTAAAAAATGAGTCAGCATGTTGTAACTTTCCAATAAAGTTCTAAATGCTAAATAAAAAAATTGCAGTAAATAGTCTGTTTTTCTTGAATATCTAATTAGTGTGGCTTGCCAAATGTTTGTCTCTTAGCTTTTTGTTAACCTGCAGTTTTACACCTGTAAACGTTATAAACTGTTAGTTACTAGAAGTAAAATTAACAATCAGATTAACAGAGATTCTGGTTTGCGCATCACTTAATTTAATCCATTTTGTTTTACAGAGCAGAAAAACAAGAGAAACTCAGACGTGAAAACGAAGATGACTTGGCCAAATTACAGCCAAAGAATGACTTTAGTTTAAGGAATAGGTATCTCTCCAAACTAGGAGCTCAGGTATTAGTAGCAAAGCAGTTTTTCCCTACAGAAGACAGTGCAATAAAAAAAAAAAAAAATCTACATCTAATGTGTGTCTTCACATAAGCAGTATATTGGTTTTTATGAAAGAGCTAAATTTATCCCATTGCTATTAGAAATGAATCTTGCCTACAATTTAAAAAAATAACCAAACTGAAGGGGTAGAATAAATCAATAGTTTTAACTTGAAAGACAGATAAGCTGAAGAACAGTTATCAATAAGATTCATCATTCTTTCAAACTTTTTTTTTTTTTTTTTTTTTTGCAGCTGCCCGATAATTACGCCTCCTACTTACCTGCATTGGCACACAGAAGTGTGCTGAAATAGCATCACTCTGCACAAGTTTGTCAAGAGATGGAAGTGCTCTGAAGTTTATGCAGACAGAAACTTGATCTTACTAGTCAAGAACTACACATAGAACAAAAGCAGAATAATGCACCATGTTCTATATTTGAATCCACATGCTGTCATCAGCAACCACCTTACCTTTAAAAATGTAGTGTCAATAAGTGGCTCCTGTGGTAATGTGAAACATTAGTTCAGGTTTGAAGCATTAGGTGAGGTTTGGCTTCTGTGTGCCATACAAAACCAAATCTGAAACTTTAAAGCCTTGGGAAACAATAGCCTGTTAGCCATTCTACATATTCTTGATGTAGGCATTAGTCCGGTCATACTACATTTTATGCTGGACGTCCTTGTTAACTTCCTGCAATAATTCAGTTTTACTTACATTTTCCGTAGTGAAAGAAACAGTAGAAATAGGACTGCCTTTTTAAGTTCTGTCAAATTGAGATTTTTACAAAAACTTGGCTGTTTTATTTATTTAAAAAAAACAAAACACAGTATATTCATTAAAGCCAGACTTGGAAGTTGCACTAGTACATGGTGATGGTGTTAATGAAAGCTGAGCTATTTTCCTGTGGAAATGACACTTGATACAGTTTTTATAACTATCAAATTGTTAACTGTAATGTGTAACTTTCAATCAGCGTAATATTTATACAAATGTAGTGTGGAGTATCTACTACTTTTAATATTATCTGCAATGAGAAAAATGGCTTTAGGACCAACTTTATCCCAAAGATGTGTGGGCTCCCATGCTTGCAATGTAAGCAGAACTGGACCCTAAAATCTCATACAACATGTATATTTCTTGCTAAGTGGATAGTAGAAAACTAAAAAAGTAGACTAACTTTGACTGAATTTTCAGTCTTTTAAAGTGTGGTCTTAATCTGAGCTAAATTATTATACTCTGACCTTTATTGCTTAAAATTTGTCTTAACTGCACAGGGAAGCCAGTATTTTTTTCTAATAGCTTGTTACCCTAACAGTTGTATTAATTTAATAAATCAGAAGTAACTTGAGGAATGTTGACATTTATATCTGGAACTTTTGGTTCTATTAAGAATTTTGTATATGCAAATATACTCCTTTTTGAAGTGAGTTACTTTTCTATGACTTTTTCAGTATTCTACAAACTTTATCAAAGATAGTATTATGAATTGTGTAGAACTGCCATAGTCTGGCCTCATGAAATCTATCCAGGAAGATAGTATAAAACTTGGTGCTTTTATGTGTTACTGTTGAAGATTGCATTTACACATGGTAGTGCTAAACCTTTTTGTTTGGTTTTTTTACTATGCTATCTTCAGGAAGAAAGCAGCATAAACTATCCATGGATGGATTATGTACAGTTGATTTGTTTATATACTTATAGATACTGATCTTTTTTTAGTAAATAAAACTAAATGGATAGGGCCACTTGGCTCTCTGTGTTTAATGCTTAATTGCTTTTTAAGCAGTGTTGTATAGTGGTCAGTGCACATGACTGCTGTCGTCTTCTGTGGAGGGAGGGCTTCAGGGAAGGATAACTTGAGGAAACTTTTATGCAGTTGGTAGTCGAGGAGGGTAGAGCTGTATTCGTCCTCTAAAGAAAGAAACAAGATATTCTTGTTTTTGCCCTCTTCTCTTCCCCCCCTCCCCCCCCCCAACCCCCAGATCTCATGGCTCTCTGTCCATGGTAGTACCGTACTGGTGGAGCATGGGCCAAGAAATAATTTCACAAATGACATGGTAATCTGTACAAATGTGTGTGTTAATATTGGCATCCTGTCCAAATTCCCTCTGGTCTTAAACATTTGCTGTATTTAAACGGTGGGTGAACTGATCAGTATGCAGAGGCCTTAATCCTCATGGGGTATGTCTATCAAGTGTGACTGCAGCTAGGGTAAGCACACCCATGCTAGCTATTATCTAGACTACAAATAATGAAGAAATGGCAGGCTTCAGACGGGGCTGCACCGGCCCCCTGGACACTTCATCACATTGCTAACCTGTGCTGAAGCCCAGGCGTAAAGCCCAGGGTCTTAACTGTTATGCTAGCTAGATTTAGGTCCGCATACCTGTGCTAGCTTTAGATGCAGTCACGCCTTCAATTGCGGTGTGGACATGCCAATAGAGTGCTCTCATGCTCTATGTAATGTTGCCTCAACTCAAAACTCCAGCTTTCCTATTTCTGTTCTTAGTTCAGTGGCTTTCCTATATCACTTTATTATGGAGCATTAGTGCATATGGCTTCTGTATCCCCCTCATTCAACAGTGGTAAACACTGTTTGGGGCTTTGTATAGAGATCTCAGCCTGCTTAGTACCGTGTCAAGCACAGCATTAAACATTCTTTTAACCTTTTATTAAGCTACAGGGAGAAAAAGGAAAAGCCATTTAAGTGTTTCATTTTAACAACTCTTGTTCCCTTCAGCTGGAGAGGTGTGTTTTTTCTTTAAATTAAAAAAAAAAAAAAAAAAAACCTTGTTTGACAGTCTCTTAAATGGTAGTAACTATCCTTTTTGTGGAAAAAGTAGTCAGTTGAGATGGGCTGGAACTGTTAAAGTCCGATCCCAGTTTCTAGAAGATGGACAAAAGAGGGAGAGAAAATAGCAGAGAGAGTGAATGCAGTTTGTTTCTGATGATCACTCTCACTTGCAACCTCACTGCTGAAAAATGTAGGTACAGCACTCAGTCTTACCAGCCACTTTGAGACCTGGCAACGTTCTATGTGATTCTCTCTAGGGCATTGCACTTTGCTTCGCTTCTGGTCAAAGGCTTACAGCAGTGTTGCAGAGCAGACTAGGATGGCTAAACCAAACTCATAAGAGGGATTGGAAAGAAGAAATAAACTGGTGAAGGAAGAGGACAATGGGTGGTGTGTGCCAGTCTGACCTCCCCATTGGTGTTCAGGATTGAGCTGGCGGAGGTGGTGATGTCACCTGGGTCCCTCTGGTCTGGGCGGGATCTCTCTCAGGATCAGGATGGAGAAAGGTCCAGGAGACTTAGAGGTAGGGGTGGTGGTAACAGCCATGATGGTGAAGCTTACTCCTTCCCCCTTTTTTTTTCCAGTTAGCCAGTGTAGCAGTACCCTGCTTTCTCCCTCCAAAGTCTCTTTGAGGACTGCAAAAAGACAAGCTACGCAGGACATCATTAACTACTCACATTTTTTGTCCAACAATTAGGCTTTCCTTGTTTACCAGGCATGATCTTAACACAGTAGAAATTATATCAGTAGACCTTTTCATTTGGACTAATTCAGTCTTTCCATCTTTTTTGCATCTTGTCCCATGAACATGTTATAGGTTATTGTGACCTCTCATTCACATTCACTCACTTTTTACAGCTGAGTTCACAATTAGGCTAATTTTATAGGCCCAATTATCACAACATACCTCAATGCTGGCTGAAGCATGAGTGCTTCAACCGTTCATATGTGCTTGTTCCAGCTACAATTTGATGCCTTTGTCAGCAAAGGCAAGGGGCTTTCATCTTCCCTCTCTCAAGGTGGGCATAGTCCAGCATCTGCAACAAATGAATGGGCTTCAGCCCTTTGCCACTGAGAAGAATCATTACAGTCAGCAAGTGCTGTTGGGGTGTACTTTGGCAGTATTTGTATCTATATAGTTTAAAATTCCTTGGAATGATTTGGGGTTTGGTTTGGGTTTTTTTGGGTGGGGGTGGGGGGGACTGTTATCATCTAATCTAACCTCCTGTATAAACTGGCCATAGGACTTTCTGGAATTACTTCCTGTTTGAACTAGAGCTGAAAGGTTCCGTATAAATGAAAACAGTTGTACCTCTGCATACATATTTGCTTTAGATTTTTTTTTTCTCTTAAGAGCAAAGGCTATGCTGGTGGCATGTAACTGTTCATAGAAATTCTTTTCGTGTACTAAGGCCTTTTTAGTACATGGACTTCCCTCAGCTGCAGTGCTGCACTCTGAACAGTTATCAGTGAAGAAGCACACTTGTTTACAATGCCTGTGCAAGGCTGTATAGAAGAGCTAACATGGTAAAGAAATAAATTACTAAATGCATGTTTTACAATGTTCTTAAGTGAAAAAACGATAAGAGTAGTGGTATTTCACCGGCGGCCTGGAGGCCTCCCACTTATTCTACACCTCTCATGTCTCTTCACAGTGCCAGACTAGAGTCAAGCTCAACAGGGTCTTCTTTCCCCGCTGATTCTGCCAAGCCCATTCCCTTAGCTGTGGTTTCGCTAGATAGTAGGTAGGGACAGTGGGAATCTCGTTCATCCATTCATGCGCGTCACTAATTAGATGATGAGGCATTTGGCTATTTTTCTCAAACCCTTACGGGTTTCTGTTCTGGGTTATTTGGAGTGTAAGTACACTCGCGGGTGGCCCATCCAACCCGGTGTCAACTCAGGGTGACGTCGAGCATGGTAATATAATCATTACGAGAATCCCGTGAAGAGGGGAAGGTGGATAGTGTGGAAAAGAATAGTAGGAAAATAGAGATTGACATCGCATGAGGGAAAGAACCTCATGGAACGGTATTCATCAGAACCTTCGTAAGTAACAGCTTCCGGAGACTAAGGCTGATCTTTTCAAGGTCTGGAGTCTCCCGGTTCCATTCCTTTACATTCGAAAAGCTACTGCCGCCTCCAGCCCTGGAGTCACAAGGTCGGCGTAGGTGGTAATTTATGAGAACCCCGCATTCTCACGCAAAGAAGGGCGCTTTGTTGCGAACCCGGAGGCTCGTCTTTCATTTTGTTTTTCAACACCGAGGTGTCGGCTTCTCCCACAGGGTGTTTTTCAGCCCAGTCACCCTGTGGGGCAGGGCAGCAGATCCTCTTGGTCACCACCATATAAGTGGCGTCCGGCGGGCACCGCGGGGAGGTTAAGGATCTGGTGTTCTTGGTGCCCCAGCAACTAGACCCGATTAGGAGAATCAGTGGCGAACCACGTCTTTTCCCCCTAAAAGAATGCAGACTAGTGAGAGAATCAGCAAGCCTCAGGGGAGAGGTGCAACCTCCTTATCCAGCCGGAGCCCCGGCCGCTCGGGAGGAGTCAACCCCCCCTCCTATAGCGAAGCTGCTTCTTCATGCCTCAAAAGCCCGACTCCCCACGTAGAACACATTAAGAGAGTCATAGTTACTCCCGCCCTTAAGAGAGTCATAGTTACTCCCGCCGTTTACCCGCGCTTCATTGAATTTCTTCACTTTGACATTCAGAGCACTGGGCAGAAATCGCATTGCGTCAACACCCACCACGGGCCTTTGCGATGCTTTGTTTTAATTAAACAGTCGGATTCCTTTCCCCAAACAGTCTTTGTTGCTATTGCATAATGCAAGTTTAATTCAAACAAAATAATTGGTGAGCTACAATTTCTAATAGAAGTGTTATAAAAGTCTCCACTCCTACTTTTTTTCTTAGGACAGGTCAGATTGTACAGCTCTTACTCCTGCTGTCCAACTTGGTTTTTCTAGGTGCAACTCTTCCTTCCTTTTTTGATAAAAGGGGCCCTACTTTCCAGTGGGGGATGTTCTGTTGTCCTTTCTTCCTCAGTTGCTTTTATCATTAGGTATGGGTTAGAATATTGCCATAGCATCTTATCTGATTTCTAAGTAGTTTACAAATATTTACAAATTAAGTGTCTAAAATACTACCCCTTATTTTACAGATCTGAAAGCAAATTTATGTGCCAAGTTGGGAGGAATTTTCAGATTTGCTGAGTTCCAGTTCTCTGTGTGCTCATCTCTAAACTTCTCCTTAATTGGTAATATTACTAACCAAAATCACACTTAGACTATAAGCTGCACTCCATTGGGTAGTATAACAGTGTCAATGCATGACAAAGGCCAATCCCAGACTTTACTGTATATTTTATATAGTGTACCATGTAAATATTTTAAAAATCAATGTTTGACAGGATTAGACAAACATTCCGTCAATATTTAAACACATTTTCATATTTTAGAAGTATACTATTTCAAACATTCAAATAATATTGAGTCACTGGCTCGTTGGGAAATAAAACTTCAGTCTGGCAGTCTAATCTGCCTATATCTTGTATTTTTCTTGAGTGTTTCAGACTTCGTGGTGCTCTCCAAGTAGAAGAGTCTGCCAGCAGTTATCTATAAGCATTGGTCAGTACGCGTAATGCTGTGTGAGGGGTTTTGCTGGAAAGAGTGCTAGTGAAAATGCTTGCCATCGGCTGAGAATTAGAAGCCTTTATTCACAATAGGATTAACAGTGAAGACTTCTTTACACTTAACCTTGTACTTTAGCCTTGAAGTGTGCCTCTAGCAGTAAGAAGCTATTTCAACCGCCAGGCCCCTTCAATCATTGGCCTCTATAGAAAATGCCAAGAGTGGTGATTTTGTTTGATAGAGACACCATCTACCAGGAGCTG